GACTCAAAGGCCAAGGAACCGAGCCCGGGGAGGGGCCGACGTCCAACAGCACGTACGGCGAGTGAGGAGGAAAGACCCCACTCCGCATAACCACAAGCCCCGCCTAGAGGGGGATAAAAACCCCCACGGGGTCTAACGGGGCCAAGGACCCCCAAGTCAGCCCCTCCCCAGCCCCGGGAACCTACACGACAGGCCCCGGGGCCGAGCCGTTCCCCCAAAGCCCCAGCCGTACCAGAAAACCGGGGCAGCCGTGAAAATACTAAGGAAGGGAGCCCACTGGCAGACTCATACAACACGGCTGGAGGAACAGGCCCAAATGCCCCCGTCACTACCCCGGAAGGGGAATTCCCCGAGACTGCCCGAGTCTCAACACCACCAAAAACCCCGCCCCGAACCTACAGACGGTAAGGAACCAGATGCAGGCAGGAAGGGTGAACCAGGGGAAAGACAAGGGGGCGTGAATGGAACCGAAGCAACCAACACCCCCAAGTCCCAAAACGAACTACAACGGGGCAGCCCCGGGGCTCCCGGGGAGGAAACCACGAGAACGTTGCCACCACCAAGGCTCAAGTGCAACGCCCCTGCTGCCCGCACCCGCTTTGTTAGCACAACTGGGTAACCGAGCCACAACGAGCAACCAAACTCGCAGGACTCCGGGTCGAAGGTGTCACCGACCCCACAGGCAGCAGACGGAGGCAAAACAGAGAGTCACCCAGAGACAAAAGGTGAGAGCAACCCTCAAACTCGCTGGAAGCGAGGGGGGGACTCTGGGGTCACATCCATTGGACCCGCGCGCCCCCAGGGGTTTCCCAGGGTCCCGAGCGTTTACTTTAAGAGGACTCGCGCTCAGGTAATCCCAGGCAGGGTACTGCTAACCGGCACCCAAAGCTACCAAACAACTTTCTAAGAGCTGAACCCCGGGACGTGTACACTCACGGGGACCTAGCAGGGGGTACCACCAGAAAATACTCAGAACACAAGGGACACAAGGGGCAAGAACGAAGGCAGACCCCCCACCAGGTAGATAAACAAAAAGAAAAAGAAAACCCCGCAAGAGGACAGCGTACCCAAGCGGAACAGAGCCGGCCGCTATGATTGGTAAAGACAAGCTGCACAGTACCCCGCGCCCCACCAGTGCAAACGCTGCCCCTTACTCTAAGGTGAACAAGGGAGACAGAACACCCGAGCACACAAAGCAGGCCGAAAACCAAGCAGTAAACGGCCAAGCAGGGGCAGGACCCAAGGAACTTGTGGAAGGTGGCCCCAAGCCCCAAGGGCAGTACTTACAGGGCACCTAGGGAAGGGAACCCTAGGCGCATGCAGCCCGAGTACTGGAGAATCACTCCCGGCTCACGCACCACCTAGAAAACAGACACCACACTCTAGGTACAGTGCTGAAACAACCACTGGAGCCGGAGCACATAACCATTGCCTATAGCATCAGCCGAAGAACTGATGGGTGGATAGCCGGCGTGGGAGGTCTGGGGCTCCCCCTTCCCCCTCCCGGGGAGGGGGGAGCTGCGCAGACAGCGGCGCGGTGACGTATGACGTCATACTAGTTTCCTTGTTTTCGGTTGAAGAGTTCTATCCACTAGTTCGGCTTAGGTAGCAATTTTCACCAGAATAGGGGTTTGTTTTGGAATGCTTACCTTTCTGGATGCTTGACCCGGTCGATGGCAGACATAGAATGCTTCCAACCACACGGGGGTTTCTATAGGCCATTGCTCCCCTTGCCTCTCTGAGGGGGCCAGGTTCTGGCTCGTGGTCCCCGGTAGGCCCTAGAACTCCATACACATGACCGATGCCAAAGTCTGACATTAGCATATCAGCCGGTAAAGCTCCGGGGAGCCGACGGGGCTCCCCCCAGAAAATAAGAACGTTTTGTTGATAAGGAAAATAGCTCCTGATAACTGGAACTGAAGTATTATGCAGTAATAGAGAGATGCATCACCTGTTCGATACTCAAAGAAGAAGAATAGTAGTAAGAAACATCCAGAAAGTGGATATGCAGTTGGTGCCTTTGTATCATTGCCGAGTAATACATAATAACAAAAATAATAGATAACTATGTTAATATGCTCTATTTTGTTATATATAAATATATTGCCCAATGTAATACAGTATATGTTACTTTCATCAATGTCCCAAAAATATTTTTTTAGGGGAAATTTTTTTTTGTTTAAGATTTTAGTTTTTTCTCCTTTGTTTATTATCTGATTTTGTTGTACCCTTTACATCCTGGAGAGTGCTTATGTTTCCCTAACTATGTGAAGATAGAATGAAATTGGTCAACAAATAAATCAGTAACAACTCACAAAACTTGGGACTTTTTTTAATTTTTTTGACTGATTTTTTCTCTGATTTCAAACTCTATTTTCTTTGTCTCTTTAGGTTGTTTTGATGATTAGGGACCATATTAGGACTTTTTCATGTATATAAAGTATACCCTAAATATAATCCCCAAAATCATTATAATTATTATAATTATCCTTATATTTTGTGTTTTTTGGGGGTTATTTTTTCTTGACTTCATTTCAACACATATTGGCCTACAACTTTCACATATTTGAGTATGAATGCCAAACAATGTTAATTAAAACATACAATTAAATTAATTAACACTTTTCTGGATTTTCCACTTGGAATTACGGGCGTTTTGCTTAACCGCTTGTTGGATCACGACGTAAATTTACGGACCGTGTTATATTGGGTATTTACTACTCGATCGACTTGGGGTTTGTATGAATATGTTTGCCATTAAATTTTTGTTTTCTCTAATAGGCACTGTGCCTATTTGAGAAAACGGCAATGTATTGTAACTTAGAGGAGAGACTATTGAATTGGTGACACAACGAGGGTAATCGCGCACTCCACACACTCTTGTGTTGGCCGCTATCATGATTCTACATTTATATGCATATGTCTGTGTAGAGAATTTTATTCTGAACACTATACAAACAAAAAAAACGGAGTGAATCAAGTATAAACTTGAAAAAACATGAGCAAAGTAAAAACTTTTTACGCTCACGAGTACAAACACGCGAAAGATTCACGTAAGATTTTATTCGCCACAAATTGATTTGACGCTCTGTTGGCCAATTCTACCCATGTTCTTATAGAACTTTCTATTGCGAACACATTGCTATAAAAATGAAATACGTAGCTCGAGAAATAATGTCATGACAGTGAAATAAGTATAAACTTTCAAAGCGCTGCATCACAACAGTGTCGTCGCTGCTGAAATCACAGCTAACGCTTCGCCCAGTTCCCACACTCGTGCGGAACATAATTAGACATTGATAGGCATATGTCTGGGTGGGGAATTTTATTGCGAGTTCAGTGATATCAAAATAAGCGCTGTAGGATGACTGTGAGGCTGGCAACAAACGAAAGAGTATGAACATTTACTTCCTGTTTGGGTGTCACGGCGAGTCATCTTCGTGTTTATTTACTTCGTGGTGGGATAGCAAATGCTTGGGTGACATTTTATGCATATGATCTTGTAGAGAATTTTATTGCCAACGCATTGATACCAAAATGAAAAACGTAGCTCAAGAATTGATGTTAGGAGCGTGAAAAGATTATAAACTTTTTTGTGTTTACGCTTGAGCGCCCAAAACGCCGCGCGCACAACCCGCTTTTTTTTTCAGCGAGTGCTGCGCGCACTAAAGTGTTAACGAATTAAAAGTACCTTTATTCATTGTTGATAACTTCAACTTCAGTTATCTCTGAAACTGGAATTTCAACTTTAGAGTGGCTTCTAAAATTCCAGTTTTTGACCGATTCTCAATATTCTGACATACTGTGTGCTCAGCTGTCTGTTCTGCAATTCCTTCAGAATGGATTTTTCATAAACTTTATACATTTGCAGTTATAATTTTTTTGGTCTAAATTTGCCGCATATTTCAAATGCCCTATTGACGATTTTTTTTTACAGTAAACTATACTGAAAACCTATATTCTAATTTGATGAAAATAAATATCATATGCTATTCTGAGAGAATAATAACATTAAATGAACAACTGGTGATAGTTCATATTTTTTTATTCTGAATTGAAAATCTGAAGTTTTCAATATTCAATTTTAAAATTAATTTTGATTCTCTTGTTTTTCTAGTTACGCTGTGATCATTTAGACAAAGTTGGAGCATTTGCCTAGTTGATTATGCCAAAAAAACTGGAAAGTGTTTGTGCAAGTTTTAAAAACTTAAGTTAAATTATTTTGTCAAATCATATATGTATGTATTGAGCGGTCTAAGGAGTAAGGATACCTGATCAACCAGGCTGTGAGCAGTTGCATCCAACAACCTGGTTGGTCAGACCACCAGCCAGGATGCCTAGTCAGGGACTGAGCCAAGGAGACATTGATCCTCTGGAACCAACAACAAATAGACAAGAGGTAAATAGTTTCCTCTCATTGTAAGAGTATGTTGTAATATTTATTTACTCTTTAATATCTGACATAAGCAATGACTGAACTATTAATTAATAATACTATATTGCAGTAGTGGTCAGCATAGTCAGCTCACAACCAAATGGTCCCAAGTTGGATTAACATGCAGGACAGAAACTTTTAGGAAAGCTTCCTTATACCTGATGTCTCCATTCACCTATTAGGAAATAGGTACCCAGGGGTCAGGCAATTGTTGAGGGTTGCACCCTAGTTGCTGGTCTATGACTGCAGGTGAACTAGCAAGAAAATAAATGGGGCCCACTCCTAATTTATCTTGATATGAGCAACTGGGATTTTACTGTACAGTATTTGTCAAATAAAACAGTATACACTATTTAATTGTACATTCTTTAATTATGCAACATGTCTGAATCCTTATTATCTATACCATAAGGGAAGCCCTAATTCTGTTATTTTTACAGCACTGTTCAGCACTTCATCAACTACATAGCATTGAAGCACAGCACTGTAAAAAACAAAAAAAAATAAGGTTTCCTGACTAATTCTATACCTAATAGAAACTTGAATAAGTTTTGTTAATATTTACCATACACCTCCCATCCACACAGATGTCCCGTCCTTCGCTGTCACAGGGTGTTCCGTCTACCACCTTTAGCGCATGACGGTAGTAAAACCTCTCACCTTCTGGTTGACAGTTCAACTCACATTTCCGTGGTGCTTTTAGATGGGGTACCCAGCTGTTGAACCCAAGACTTATGTTATTAACTTGTATACTGCAGAACTTAGAGTGGTATCTACAGGTATTTACAACAAATTAACGTCTTTTTATGCTAATAAAAACTGATTTTATATTAATTTGTATTATTAATATTTATTCCATTAAACTACTTAATAAAAAACAGCAGGGAATATAATGAAAGGTCTTTTTCTGAGTGAGCCCCGGAGGCTCAAAGGAGCTATCGGGCTAATATGCAATCTTTGGACCAGGGCAATAATCAATGGAGTTCTGCCTGCCGGGGACCACTAACCAGAACATGGGCCCCCCTCAGAGAGGCGCTGGGAGCAATGGCCCTGGAAAACCCCCCCTGTGGTTGGGGGTTAACCTTAACTACCATCGACTGGGGTCAGGCACCTAGAAAGGTAGGCATAACAAAACAGACCCCACATGGTAAGAAAAATACAACTGAAAGCCAAAAAGAAGTGTAGAACTCCCTCAATTCCCAAGGAAACAAGCAAACAAGCAAACATCACTCCACGCCATCACGTTGCTCTTTCGTGCAGCCCCGGACCCACAGCACCGGCTACTCAACCCCAGTTCTGAGGCTAAGCCTCAAAAAGAAAACAAAACTGCCACCAGGAGGGAGGGAAGGTACCAGGGAACCCCCGGGACTCACCCAGAAAATGGCATTTCATTACATTCAATGCTGGTTTTCTGTGGGGAGCCCCTTTGGCTCGCTGGAGTTATATAGCCAAGAATAAGTAAAAGAGGGACTTACCCGGGAGGCAGCCGCAAAACGCATCCCAACTCGGAGAGACAACGGGCTGCAACCTGCGACCCAAAGCCACACATGAACATCCAGGACCAGAAATATTAACCAAATATCGGGCAGCCAGGACCCTGTTCGACCTCCAAAATCCCTGCGCCCAAATATCAGCCCAAGACATGTTGCCAAAGACGGCAGCCAAAGCAGCAAACTTCCAAACGTCATGGGTACGAGGACAGACCGCAGGCTGGCTAGATTTAATAACCCTGCAGATGACTTGGGAGACCTGAGCCCTGGAACAGGGAACAAGGGAAACCGGGCAACCCAAAGCGCATCCCCGGCCAAAGAAGCTGAGGTACGCAGGTAACGGCAAAGAGTTGCAACTGGACACAGCACATGATGGACCCCCGGCCTGATCAACCAAGCATGAGTGACCCAAGGACCACTCCGGAAGGCAGCCATCTCGTTCTTTGCCAGAAAAGAGGGAGAAGGCTGCAAACGACAGACTACCAGGACCAAAAGAGCAGAAATCCCTGTGCCGGAGAAGAGCATGAAGCTCACCAACCCGACCCCCAGAGGCCAATGCCAACAGAAAGAGCGCCTTAGAAAAGCAATCCTGGACTGAAGGGGTGTCATCACAAACCGAGGAGAAGAGAAAGGAGAGCACCCTGTCTAAAGACCAGGACAGCTCAGGCGGTGCATGAGCAGGCCGGAGATGAAACAAAGCACGAGAAAGCTTACAGAATGGGGCAGTAGTTACATCCACCCCGAACGCAATTAAGAGTGGCTCCGCCAGTACTGCACGATATGAGGCAACAGTTTTAGGCATTAAGTGACGGACCTGAAAAAGCCAAGAAATATAAGTCAAAACAACTCGATCAGAAATAGAAGACAACCTACGAAAAGAGAGAAAATGGTGGAAAGAACGCCAAAAACCTTTACACTGCAGCCGAAGCTCGTAGGTGAGACACCATCAACGAAGCCACCTGATCACCATACAAAGGGTGATAAACCCGTGTCAAAAAGACCAAATGTGAAGAGCAGAGAAGACCAAACCAGCAAAGTACTCGACCGGTCTGATCTGCTGGAAGAGGCAGAGCAATGAAAAATGCCCAAGGTTCAGACACCGAACTAGCAGTGCCTGAAATCAAGGCTGGGCTGGCCACCAAGGGGCCAAGGGGACTACCCTCCCATGGTAAGACTCCAACTGAGCCCAAAGCAACAGCTGGACCGGGGAAAGAGGTACAGTTAACCCCACCTCAACCAGTTATGCCAAAAGGCATTCATCACGAACGCTTCACTGGTGGGAAAGGGCGCCACATATACTGGGAACCACGGCAAAGAGGTCCACCTCATGTAGCCCGTACGTACGACAGAGCCAACTGAAGGAGTCAACGTCGACTGTGCATTTAGTGGACAGGGGAATGAACTGAGACAGGCTGTCCGCCAAGACGCTCAACACTCTCCAGATATGAATCGCATGGAGAGGCAAACCCCGAGAAACCAGGAGACGATCCACTTGAAGCAACCAGCCCCAAAAACGCAAGGACCAAAGAGAACCCCCGCAGTTCAGGCAATGAACAACCGGAGAACAGTCTGAATGGAACCGACCGGTTGAGCCCCAAACGACCCGAACCCTCCAAAGCGACAACCAGACCGCCGCAAACTCCTAGACCTTGCTGTGAGCCTGACGGAAGGATGCAACCCACTGTTCCTGGTCAGCATGGTGAGCACTGGTCACAAAGCCCCAGCCGAGAGACGACACGTCCGTGAACACATCGAACAAGGGCTCGGGTAGGCACCATGATACTGAACTCCTAAAAAACACAAAGAGGAAGCCGGCGACAAGGCCCCTGGAGGACAAACCCAACGATCGTGAGAGAGGCGGAAGGAACCAGAACAGACACTGAAACCACACCCGACCCAGCGGGTAAGCCAGCTCAGCAAAGTTCAGACTCCCACACAACCCCTCGAGGAACAGCCAAGTGACCCGGGGAACCCCCAGAAACACCTGAAGGCAGGATTGCAGCTGCAGCAATGCCTCCGGAGAGAGAGACATGGAAGCGGTCTGAGAGCCCAAAACAAGAACCAGCCTGGTCCAAGAATCACACTCCTGGCGAGCTGGGAAAGAATCACACTCCTGGCGAGCTAGGAAAGACTCACACTGCAGGCAAGCTAGGGAAGAATCACACTCCTGGCAAGCAGACAAGCAGACCAGCTGGGAGCCTACACCAACCAGTCATCGAGGTAGGCCAGAACCCGAACCCCTAGCAGACGCAGACGGGTCACCATAACTCGGGTAAGATGCGTGAACCCGTGAGGTGCTAGATTCAAGCCAAAAGTAAGGCAATGAAAGTGGTAAGCCTGATGCTCCACCATGAAACATAACCAGTCCCTGAACCCCGGGTGAATAGGAATGTGCCAATATGTGTTCTTGAGATCCAGGAACACCATCCAGGCCCCTGGCTCCAACAGAAGCTGGACCTGAGACAGAGTGGTCATCTGAAAGGAGGGGCAAGGAATCCAGGGGTTCAAGCTGGACAAGTCCAGAATAAATTTCAGATGTGCACAGTCCCGTTTTGGCACTGGAAACAGACGGAAAACCTATCTGAGGGACAGGTTCGTTTCAACCAAGCCCAAGCATACCCACTTCTTAAAAACCGTCAGTAATTTCAAAGCGTTATATGACAAAGAGTGCTGGGGAGACAGGATACCACGAGTGTAGCTCCCATCCTGTAACTACACTTAGGTAATTACTCCTAGATGACCCAACAGAGCGCAGGGAAAGAAGCTTGGCCCGCCAGTCCCGAGCCTCTCAAAGGAGGAGCAGCAGCCCAATGTCACCACAGGGCAGAGGAGACAACCCAAAGCACCCATGAATCGTGGGATCAGGAGGGAGCAAACAGAGCGAGCTGCCTCCCCTGCTCCCCATTGCCCTATCAACGGGGCAAACTGCGAAAGGGCCGAAGCCCCTTACAAGAAGCTGGCCAACAAGCAGAGCAATCATTGCGCCGACCAGACAATGCCAGCTCCAAAGGCAACGTCGGCTCAGAAGCTGGCACCAAAGGTCCACCTTGACCTTTGGTACCATTTGGGAGCCGGTCGGCCGAGCAGATAGCACACTGGACATGGCGCCGGCGAGAAACATTGGGCAGAGTTTCTTTCATTCTATGCCCCTGTTACCTAGCAGTAAAATAGGTACCTGGGTGTTAGTCAGCTGTCATGGGCTGCTTCCTGGGGGTGGAGGCCTGGTTGAGGACTGGGCCGCGGGGACACTAAAAGCCCCGAAATCATCTCAAGATAAGACTCAAGATGACCCAACGAACCCCTAACCCTGGCACGACCCTACTGAGAAGGCAAAGAATGGCCACCCCAGAGAACCAACAATTCCGACATGAGACGACAACTAAACGAAGCCGCCCACAGAGACTATATGACCACAGATTCTGCAAACAGCAACGAGCAAAACGGAGAAAAAACTTAAGAGCCAGGGCCCAGGCAGATTCTAAAGAAAGAGCGAGCACAGCCTGTCGGCATGCGAGGCAAGAAGCACCGAACAGTGACACCGCCTCCCTGAGAATCGGCGTAAAAAACTTCAACAGTGCGGCCGACACCTGAGCCGCCAAGGTCAGCACACCAGACGAAGGCCCGGCACTCAACGCCTCCACATCCTCTTCAAGCTAAGCCGAAGACAGCTTGAGAAGGGAAAATAAGTGCAAGACCGAAGCCCACGGCCTCCCCTATAGGGAAGGGGGGCCTACATGTGCAGGAAAGGGTAGGAACCTGCACGTGCAGCTGTAGAAGGCCAACAGGCAGCATGATGGAGGCAAAAGAGGTGACTGTCAACCTAAGACAAGGGCACACAGCAACCTTCAAACCAGCACGAGGCGAGCTGGAACTCGGAAGATGCATCCATGGGTCTATTGAGCCATGACAGAGTTTTCCATGGCCCGTAGGCTGACTGCTATGGGAAGCTCAGGCAAGGTGTTGCTAACCCGTTAAAAGTTAACAAGGGGGATGAACACTGAAAACCCTGCGACATGTACTATCACGGGGGCAAAGCAGAGGGCTACCAAAATATCAGAGGTGGACCATTAGCCACTGCAGGCAGACCCCCCACTAGGCACACAAAATAAAAAATCAAAGAAAAACCCCACAACAGTACATCGTCACCAAGAAAAACAGGAACCGGCCGCTGCTGTAGGTAGGCAAGTTGCACAACATCTTGATGCCCCAACCAACAACAACAACAC